CCTTTTCCTATGTTTTTCTCTTTTTCTGCCTCATTTAAGAACTCTAGCCCATGGGAAAAGGTCGAAACATTGTCTTCGTTTTCGGACTAGCAGGCCGAGTTTCTGTTTGTATCCATTATTGTCGCGAAATGTATTATTTTTCCCCGCACTAGCAATGGCCGCTCGCGCGAAAAAAAAATTTCTGGCGAAGTCGGATTTGCTGACGCTATCAGCGTGCACTATCGGGATTTTGAGCACGCTTACGTATAATGAATTTGATTGCGCGACTCTGCCAGCTATGTTCTAAAACTTCTTTTTTTTTTTTTTTGGCGCATCATCTTTCTGATGAAATTCCCATACCAAATGTCACCATAACTTGTAAATAAACCAATTAATTTAAGAGGCTTATACTTTGACAAAGAGCGTATCTGATAGACCAATATTTGGACTGGTACTAATACCACTGATTTTCTTTCATGGGCCAAAGCTATATCTAAAGAGATCATTATTTTGTTTGCGTATTGTTTTAGTCTTTTCTATTTCGTTTTGTTTTCGTATATTTTAGACTTTCATTATGAACAAATTGGTTGCTTTGCGGACAAATTAAACGTACCCAGGCCATTACCACTTCTAGTCAAGAACTATCGCTCCCGACCGTATCAAATCGATTGGAATAACATAAATAACACGATACGAGCCTGTGCCAAAGAAGTAAAGAAGGCCGGTTATGTATACTTTGGTCTTCAGTTCTACGGCGAATGCTGGAGTGGACCACTGGCACACTTGACTTATGACGAAGATGGAGAGTCGACGCGATGTGAAAATGGTGTAGGAAAGCGAAGGGCTAATTTCGTGTACCGGCTCGTTTCAAAAGGTGATAGTACTTGCTAAAGCTGAAAGAGAGCATTTAATTTGATGAAGTGCGCGCGTTGACTCGTCGAAGTGTTATTGCTGCACGAGTTAGTTATTTGTAAAATTCAAATAAAAGGTTGTGAAATCAACGGTTAGACTGCAATCATTTTTTATTGGCCCAGTACTTTCTATTGTTACCTCCAAAATTTATTAAAATTGTATAAAAATAAACATTTTTTAAAATTTTGTTCCCCCCTACGACAGGACTCAATCCCCCCAAAAAGAGTTTTTCCTTCCCTTTCATACCCTTTTCAGTTTAATTTAGACTCTGAGTACCTGTTCTTCCAAGAATAATGTCATTGATACCTCGCGTGTAGCTAGAAGGTTTTGGTAGATTGGTTTTATATCTGATAAAGACTCGAGAAACAGGAGTGTTTTAAAGTTATCTAGGAGTTATTCATCCGGGAAGGGGGCCCAAATGTGGAATGCAATCGCTTAACTTAATGCTCTCTGGCCAACTCTGTCTTTCCTCAGAATGTAAAGAATACCGCGTTCTCCAAGCACCTGACCGGTCGATTCATCACTCTTATACTCCTTCGGCCCCGTGCGATATCGGTCTCAAGCCCTCGTGGTACCGATTTCAAGGCCGTGCGGGCACGGCTATCGCCAACAGTTGCCCTAGTAGGTTCAAATGCGGGACCATCGTACCTGGATGGCTTAACGGGCCACTTCCTTCCGTTCAAGATGGAATTGTGTCTAGACAAATTTGCTTTCATCAAGACAGAAACTGCTGCTTCACGAAGACCCAAGCTAGAGTTCGTAATTGCGCAGGATTTTACGTCTTCTATCTTACATCAACGCCATATTGTCAATTGAGATACTGTGGCAATGGAAAAATAGTGAGTTATCATATAAATTTTTTTTTTGTTTTGTTTTCTTTTTTTTCCCTGCGTTATTTTCTGTTTAATTTCTCTTTAGTCCTGTTATTTGTTTATTCGAGGTGCTCTGCCATACGAAATTATGGGCTAAACTGAACACTTATGCTTGCTTAAATAACACGTCACAAGGGTTTTTAAATTTTCTCTTGTTTTTGAAGGAGAAAAAGGCTGGTAGTTCAAGTAGTTAGCGTAATTTTTTTTTTTTTGGAACGGTCTAGCCAAATAAAGTCCGAATCTCACATCATGTAATTTGGCAATAATCGCAATCGCGTTGTCGTATAGATACAATGCCTATTGTTTTCTCATGTTGGAAAAAAACATAACTTTAAACCAGTTGGAAAAATTATTTATCTCATAATTTGTTCATGTATTCTATTTTTTAGGGTTGAAGTTCCAGGTAGTTTGCATGGGACTCCATAGGATGTGATACGCAAGGAAGTAAAATTGTTGGCTTCGAATTTTTGTTTCGGTTTTTATTTTTTTTTTTCCAATCATTTATTTATTGATTTTGATCAATTTCAGAAAACACAATAAAGTTGCAGTTGAATAGAGTCGGTTTATCTTGTTACAATGCAAGCACAAGCATACGAACGCATGCGCAGTAGCCCATCTGCCGCTAGATATCTTGTTACGTTGCCATTTGGCTTCACCTGTCACGAGTTTGCTTGGCCAAATTGCCTTGTTTTAATTTCACAGTGTAGCCCTGTTGTCCATGCGGGAGATAATGAAAGTGGAAAATCATAAAAACATTCAGGAGATTGAGGAGTTTCGTCAGATATTTCAAGAACGTTCGGAAATCTGCAATACTATTTCGCTTATAACCCAACCGAATATTCACTCCTACAACGAAGTGACAACCCTTCGACGGGTTATATTGTGGGAAAGTCGGTTTTAAAGGTTTTGGGACCTAGATAATGTGATGATTTCTTTGGTTTTCCGAAAACACAATTAAAAGTCGGAACAATGTTATTTCTCTATAACGATGTTTGCGCACCTCTTAAAATAGTTAGTCGCACGCGGAAACGAGTTGAAGAACTTTTATGCATCTCTAAAATGTACACCGATGATGTGAAAATGAAATAATTACTGAATGTTAAAAATTTGTAACCATTTCAATCTAACAAGGTTTTCCGAATGTTTAAATTCAGTGCTGTTTACTGAGAGATTTGTGCTTTTGATTGCTTCAAATAATTGCTGTTTGTATCTGACGTATCTTTTCTTTCACATTTCAAAAGTACTACATTAAGATTTACCACGATTACAGAGTGCCATAGCAATTACCAAAGTACATGGAGCAAAGTGTTCGACCCAAAGAAAAAGAAATGAAAAAACTTAATCGCTATATGCGCACACTGGTCCCGTTCCTCTTAGAATTACCACTGATCTGTTTCCAACTGACGGAGGGTTAACGCTTTTTGGCCTTTTCTTACTATCAACTCAGGTGATAAAGCCAAATTATCTTCTAACATTCTTCATAGATAAAATCCCCGTAAATTGGAAGAAGACAAAAAAAAAAATGAAAATGACAAAAAAAGTTGAAAATGACAAATAAAGTTGAAAAATGACAAAAAAAAGTTGAAAATGACATCAAAATGACGTGTGCCACTATGCGTAAACATTAAGCGCTTCTCACATAGTTTTTCTTATCGATGACAGAGTTCTTTTCAGGAACTATATTGTCATATATTCATGACTGCTAGTAAACAGTGTAAAAAGAACTTTTAATGAGTTACTCTTTAGGAGCCAGATGCATTACAATGCTTTCCCCTCGAGAGTTTAAAATCGGCGTCATAATTGATCACCTAGAAATTACATAAAGTAATTTACCGTTCACTGGGCGAGTTTCGCCGAAACTCAGTTTCGAGTTCTTTTTTTGCAGGAAGTTGGAAGCATTAGAAAAAAATTACCATCTTTTATTCTATTTCTTGCGATTTAATGTTTTTTTTCAATTCAAGTATGTAACTAGGATGAAGAAAGAAGCCGGTACCTTTTAGCGTCTTAAAAAGGATAAACATGTTATTACAGGAAAATCTATTACCTGAATCGTGAATTTCGCGTCAAATTGCATGTTAAATTGCAATGTTAAATTGAATGGTGAAGCGATGAGTGCGATATCAGTTTTCAAGTAGTTTAACGCTCTATTTACGAGTCAGGTAATGGATTTTCCTTGAATCGCATAGTTGAATAAAAATAAGAAAAAAAAAAGAAAGCAGCAAAAACATCCGTTTTTATCGTGAACGCGAAAGAAGAGATCCAAAAAGAATATCACTTAGCCTCGTTTTCAACTCACAATTACATGCTAAATACCTCGCTTCGTTAACCAATCAGAATGCGAGATTTTATTCAATTATGCGATTCTGTGCAGTATTCACTACGAGAATTATAGCAGGTTTAATTAATATGTTTGTTCCGAAACGCAGGAAATTCCTATCGCATCCTTTTAATTCCTTGATCTTATAGATTATCGCTAACGCATGTCAAGAGAAGGCGTCCTTACTTTATTCAAGTACATTAAGGTGTTTGTGTTTTAGTTGTTATGTTCTTGAGATAATTTTGTAAGTGGAGTTAAATAACTGTCCTAAAAGATCAAGCTCGACATTTAACCGCGTCCTTTTTTCAAAGAGGAGTAGAGCATCGAAGAAACAGGTTAGAAAAACTTCGGTTTTCCAGATTGTCGTTGTATCCTTGGGTAATAGAGAATCACGGTAATCTAAGAATGGAATAAGAATCAGTGAATTCATAGTGGGGAGGTTTAGCTTATTCTATGCTGTAAGTATATGCAAAGAACTTACGATTCATTCCAATTTGCCAAAAAAATTAAGATGAAAAAAGGTTTACGGCTTCCAGTTTGAGGCTCTTCATTGGATAATCCGAGCAAATTTAGCCGTTAGGCGTAAAATTTTAAATATTTCACTGAAATAATTAAAATCATCAGTCATAATAATATTTAACCGTAAAAAAAATCTGGTTTCAAGATGGAAAAATATTAACCGTAGCCCTCTTGGTTCTTTCTAGTTGCTCTACTCAATTTTTTTTAGGAGAAAAAGTTCGATTCGAAACAACTAGATCAGTTAGACCTAACCACCTGTTGTTACCTGTCCTGAACGAGCTAAAATCGATTAATATCTTCTGAAAGCCGCATTTGTTGTCTTTTGTTTTTGGAATCCTCGAATAAGGTTTCGGCTTCTCGTCCATTTACTTTATTTAGTAAAAGGGCAGATAAAGAAAAGGAATTATGTTCAATTTTCGTTCGTTTTGATATAGAGAGCACATGAGTCATAAATACTCAGATATAGAAAAACCCAGGTTTTAAGCTTTTAAATGTTTGCTTCAACCGGCCCATAGTAAGAAGGTCAGAAAAATAGTAAAGGTTAAGATGTGCTGATAGTGTTAATAATGATAGTAAACCAAGCTAAAGAAAAGCCCTTAATTTTTTATTTTTAAATTCGCCTCCGCTGGTTTTTATCTTGAGTAAAATTGTCCTCCATCCTTTTTTTTTTTTTTCGGGAAAAGAGTTACACACTTAAAGTTCATCTTTAAGTGACTACTATCTTTGCCGAATATATCAAGACAAAGAAACATTTAGATAGTAGCTTTGTGCCGAATCATTAAGTGCGCCAAAAGTGGTTTGCGATCAATGTTGATCAGACTATTATATTTACCTAGTGTAACAAAGCTTTGCAGTTCAAAATTAGAGCAATTTATTCTATTGCTTACTTAGTGGACCAACAAATAACAGGAAACTTCATGCGCTTTGAGTATTAAAGTTTCTTTAAAAATATCCCACGCTTAAAATGATGTGGCAGTTTGGAGTTGACACAAAGCGCAAGCGACTCTAACTCTAAACAGTAAGTTGGAGCTCACTTCACTGAAATTGTGGTAAGTTATATCAACTGATCGTTCATGGAAATATCATATCTTCTCTCTTTGTCAGAATTAATTTTGAGAGGGTTTACTGTCAGCTGACAAGTTACTCACGATCCACACTTCGAAGACCGACATTTTACACCTGTCAGCGTCCCCACGTTACCCTCAAGCCACGATTTTAAGAAAGAAGGTCCGGCAACAAAGAAGAAAATATGAATTCACTAATCTTATGCACTGTATTTCTCCTGTACTTTGAATATTACACACACTGTGCAGGTTTGTAATGAATCTTATCTCTGATTATTTCTTTAATAAATGAATCAGTCTAATTTGAATCGGAAACGAAATCATCAATGATACTTGTTTTGGCAGAAAGGGCAAGTAGGTATAATCTTGAACATAATACTGTTTCGGAAATCTGTTTCGGAAATTTTTTTTTTTTTTTTTTTTCATGTAGGGGTAAATTAACGCTTTCAAGGCAGGTGCTCATAGTCTGTTAGACGTTTCTCGGTGACTGTGTTAATTCTTCTGAGAAAGATCCCATAATTCACACTATGAAAAGTGTCATTTTCACGACGTTTTCTTAAGGCTTTTGATGGTTATCATTTTCTTCGTTAAGGTTCGGTTCGCATCCAAAACTGTAAAATAGTTGATAAAGAGTTACAGAGCAGATTGCTAGAGTTCTAAAGAAATACATGCCACCTAAGCTGATGAACTCCAAGATATAAGTTACTAACTACAGCTGTTAGGATATTAGCATAACAAAAATCACTTTTCCAACAGGTTGTCTAATTTTACTGATTGTCAATGGTTGTCCTTCAATTGCCTTGTTGTCTTTTCTCCTCCATTTAATGGGAGGATTAGGAATCATTGATCAAGATCATTTTACCACTTTTTTCTTTTTGGTAACTTGAGAATATTCGGCAGCAGTGCTAACTTACATATGAATAGAGGCTGATAGTTTCGAAAGAAACTGTTTGGGGCTGCGTCGGTGGGAGTAACGAAATAATTTGGATATATCAACAAAGTTGAAATGGTAAATAGGCCACCGTATCGATTACAAAAGCTGACGTTTCGAGCGTTAGCCCTTCGTCGGAGCGAATAGAGGAATTGTGGGTTGTGTGTGCTTTTAAAGGCAGAAAATGGAGCTACGTTATTGGTGAGAACATGGCAACGAGAAAAACATGAATAACTCAGTGGAATGAAAAACGTTCGTTGATCCCTGTGGGATTTAGACTGCCGGTTTGAAAGATGAGCTTTTGTTCAAGAGTTTTACGACTTTCCGTGCTGCCTAAGTGTAAGGAAAGACCGCAGATTGCCATATGTTGCTTAGAATCATTCCATATGTTGCTTAGAATCATTCTAAGCAACATATGGCAATCTGCGGTCTTTCCTTACACTTAGGTAGCACGGAAAGTCGTAAAACTCTTGAACAAAAGCTTATCTTTCAAACCGGCAGACTAAATCCCACAGGGATCAACGAACGTTTTTCATTCCACTAATTTATTCATGTTTTTCTCGTTGTCATGTTCCCACCAATAACGTAGCTCCATTTTCTGCCTTTGAAAGCACACACAACCCACAATTTCTCTATTCGCTCCGACGAAGGGCTAACGCTCGAAACGTCAGCTTTTGTAATCGATACGGTGGTCAATTTACCATTTCAACTTTGTTGATATATCCAAATTATTTCTAACTTACATATGCTAATTAATTCCATGAAACAAAAGCAGTTATAATCTTACGTTTTTATTTGCCTTCGCATGGACAGTTTATTGAGAACACGTATGAACAGTTTATTCAGAACGCGTATGAACAGCAAGGTCGGCTAACAATAGAACTGCGACATTTTACAGACGCCGACAAACAGGCATTGCAACAGGCAAACTGAGAAACTTTACAATTTGGAAGTCCATATGCGTTAATCTAACAATTTTCTGCCATTATGCTTGGAGCCATTTTTGCGATAAAGAACTGATTAACAAAAAATAACCCAAAGATGTATAACCAAAAGGAAAAAAATCGGGTAATGGCATGATCCTTAAATGTCAGTTGGTAAAAAACGAGAACAATTTCATCGAATTGCTGAGTACTTTTCCTGTTACAGTTACCAGAAAAAACTTATCCAAATCAAACGAATGTGAGATTAAATAAATAAGTTCTTTGGCACATAAATATGTATAGCTCTTTGGTATATAAAACTCTGCTTTCATGTCTAAATTGAGCACTGTGGGATGAGTCATTGCCGCTAGTATTGCGCATAGCTCAGTAGGCTTTTCTAGTTTGAGCACTCTGGCATTGCTTAGACGATACCACAACTGTGGGATCGTTTGGGGTGATCATATCGGTTCTCCCCCATCCTAGCATCATTTCACCAGCGCGTGTTGGATATGAGATGATAGATTGTCAACGAGGCGCGTGGCGCCGAGTTGGCTATTATCATCTCATATCCAACAAGCGCGAGTGGAATAATTGTTTTATTAAAACAAACGCCCCCAAGATATTTGACAAATCTTCTCGACTTTATTATGTAAGAAGAAACCGGATCTTACAAAGTATAAATATTAGATTATGGTATATTGGCTCATATACCATAATGGCCAAGCCAATGAAAAGTCTTGAAATGCATTATCCAGTGATCCAGTTTTTAATAAATATATATATATATATTATAAATATGTACTCACGAATGTATGCATGTATATCCGGCAAATACATATATGGGTTGATTTTGAAAAAATAGGCTTTTAAAATATGTTTCAACTTTTCCTCTCAGATGCATCTCAATATGTCAACGTTGGCTGTTTTAAGGACAAAAGTAGGAAGGAAGCTAGAGCTCTTCCAGAACTACTAGCCAATTATCGAGGAAATATTGATTGGAACAATCTACATGTGCATGAAAAGGAAGTGGTCGAAAAATGTGCTCAGAAAGCGAAAGAAAAGAAGTACATGTACTTTGCGTAAGTAACAATCAGGGAAATAACTTAACAACTGAAAGACCTTAAATTGCAGAAAACTTTTTTCAGAAGATGCAGGAGTATTCTACACACAGCTGTAAGTCCTTATGAAACAGGTATATTCAGCAACATCATTCTTTTTAGTAGTTGTTTAAAAATTCTTGCTCGGGGTTTTCAGTTTTCGCGAATTTTGATTCTTTACTCATCACAAAGCATTTTTGTCTCAGAATCCAGTACTACGGGGAATGTTGGAGTGGAGCCACTGCACCTAAGACATACGACCGCTATGGTAGTTCTTCTCGGTGTACATCTTTAGTTGGTACAGCACTCACAAATGTCGTCTACAGATTTGTAGGAGATGGTTCGTATAATAATTCCAACATCGCATTAGTTATGTGTCTGTCTTTGGTCGGTCGGCCATTTATTAACCTTTATCTATGTTTTGTTACTGTTACTTTGTTGGAATTGTCGACGTATATGCATTTGTAGCAGTGAAGGTGAGAACCCTCTAATGGCCAGGTTTTCTGCCCTTTACTTAGAACAAGAGTGCGTTAGATACAAGACGCTGAACACAGCTAGTCGCTCGGCGTCATCAGTTCTACCCAAGGGAGTTTCTCCTGCATGCGATAAGGATCTCACGACTGGATGGTACCGCTTTCAAAATCCTTCCGGGGACCAAATGGCTTCTAAGTGTCCTCCATTGGGGACATGTGGAACTGTGGTTACTGGTTGGCTAAGCTCCCCACATCCGAGTATGACTGATGGCATTGTTAACGGTAAAGTGTGCTTCAATTCGGGATCAGACTGCTGTAGGTGGAATCAATACATCAAGCTTAGAAACTGCGGTAGATTCTACGTTTATAAATTAGCGGGTACAAAGGCTTGTCAAATGCGCTTTTGTGGAAATACAGTGTCGGGTAAGTTTTAAGATTATAGGCTGTTCGTATTATCTCGTGTCCACATCACTTCAGTTATGTTAGTGTAACCATCTGATATCATTAAGGTTTCTGAACTGAGACAAAGTCAGAAGTCGAGTATTCGTCGTTTTTTTGGAGGTCTCGTCCCAATTGTAAGTTGGCCCTTTGCCACCTTTGCTAATTGTCATTCTGAAATATAATTTTTTTACCCCCACCTTTACTAATTCCCCTCTCAAAAGCGTCAACGCGTTTTCTTGCTACAGAACGTATTCCTTTTGTGTCGAAGTCACAAAATTTTTCGATCAACAAGTAATTCGTTCAAACGTACATTCTTTTATACAACTCAAACTAAATGCTAACTGAATCTAATATACTTTTGGTCGCAGTACTTTATGGCTTTTCATTAAAAACAGATGTTTATCTCATACTGGTTTCCATTCATATTTGCAGTTTAACGGTGCTGGAAGACCCAGGACGCTTTAGGAGAAGGGTAGAACCAAGTCGAGCATGGATTTTATTCCAGTATTAGTGTTGTAGTTGAGATATTCGATATCTAGTTTAGATATTGGAATCATGAAATAAAAACGAAGGTGTCCGTATCTTTTGCCTGTACTTCAGTTTGACTGCTGCCAAAAAAAGCTACTGGGTTTACCCAGTTTGCTCCTGTTTCAGGCGCCTTCTCCCTTTTCATCTTGGTCATCTTCCCCTGTTGCCTTATGTCGATAAGACAGTTTCTTTTATTATGTACCGGTGATGAAGAAACAGGAGAACGGATATAACCTTGTGTTGCTTTTAATTGCTCTGGTTTCTGATGGCTTACATCTTTTATTACATCCATTTTAAAATCACTTGTGGTCCCTGTAAGCTGATTGGCTGTAATTGGTGCGATTTATTCACGAATCGCACTTTTTTTTGCTCTTAATCGCATCATTTTATGCTTGACTGAGTTTTTGATACATGACGTCAAAGTCTTTCTGTTTTGATCACAAAATAAGATGTAAAAGCGTTTCCGGTCCACTTTTTATCTAAAAACCGGTTCAGTACTGCATCAATAAAATATTTGAATTGACCAATTCCTGTATTTGGGCAATTTCAAAATGGTTATAATGAATTGATAATTGAACCTCGTTGACGTGCAATTTTGGTCTGAAATCATACTTGTGATTTCAAATCGAACTTGCGCTACGCGCTCGTTCAATTTTGAAATCACGCGCATGATTTCAGCCCAAATTGCACTCCACTCAGTTCAATTACCATTATTTATCATCGTTTAAACTGATTAAGTCCCACCAATCACGCTACAGTCTAAGATTTTGAACTTAAGCGCAGCTGCAATAGGATTTCCTCGTTATAGTTATATTGTCGTAAATACTTTCTCCCACATGTGCATGAATTTAAAGAAAAATTGAGCGGCTGTAGGAAAATTTTCCAATTAATTAATATAAACAAAGGATCTAACTTTAAAGCTACATGGGGTTATTGAACCAGCAGCGGAAACGCCAATTCTATGTTTCAAAGCTAGTCAGTGCAAATAATCATTATTTTATCAATATTCCTTGTGATAGCTAACAGAGCGTTTATATTAACCAGCAGCGTTGATTTAAAAGCCAATTTGAACACCTGAAACTTTCAATTTTGCTTAGCACTGTAACACTAAAAAGTAGCTTAAAAAATAACGCTAAAACAGTTTACACTTCTACAACAATGAAATTGAAGACCTTTGTTGTCATTGCTTTCTTGTGTCCTAAATACAGTAGAAGCTCAACGTGTCCGTACACTATTGTCTTCTTTGTGTCACAACTTTTTTTAATCTTAAGGACGTCACAAGCAATGCAGTAGTCACTTCTGTTTTAAACGAAGCGTGAATATCCACACACACAAACACACACGCACACACACACACAAAGAAAAGAGATGTCATGAAAAAACATGATATTGTTAAAAAAAAAACAACGACAACAACACCAAAAAAAAAAAAACAAAAAGAAAAAGACAAAAAAAAAACAAAAAAACAATAATCCAGAGAATGATATAATTCAAAAGAGGAACTATTTACGACTTTGAGCCAGGTTTGCGGAAGTTTCACGAAGCGGTTTAATTTCACGCGGCAAAAAGACTCTGGTTTGAGCTATTCGTCGCTCCTCGCCAACTAAAGCGATGTATGTCCGTTCAGTTTTCGGTAAACAACTTCTTAGCGCAAGTGATTTGAGAGTTGCATGTGGATTACTGTAGCCGATTAACTCTCAAATTCACACATTAGTTCACCGGTTAGACCTATTTTCTCAGAATTTGTAAAATCGTTTATAACTTATATTTCTCCGAATGTTTTGAAAAGCTTATTCGGATTGGTGCGTAGGATTTTTGAGGTGTTCCGTACGTATAATCAATGATAAAGAAGCTTCAAATTGGATAAGTTGCATGAAAAGAACGATCACATTTATCTGAATTCGAATGAATTCCTGCCAAAAAGATCTAACTGAGATCTTAGCGTACCGTGTTGGAAACACGCTTCAAGTAAATATCATGTGACAGGTTAGTTCCTACACTGTAATGAGAAGATTGAGTAAGTCGGTTCACTTCGCGTAGCCTGCACTGACGTACGTGACGTGTCAGCAGTAACATTTGAAATGACAGAAGGAATGAGCGAATGAATGCAATAATTAAAAGGTAAAATACACTTAAAAAGCTTGATTGAGAAATGAAAAGCTACAACAAAAGCTACAACGAAAGCGCTATCGAAGGGAACTAACGGATGCAGAGTTTTTATTTGCGCAGAGTAAACAATTTTTTTTCCTAATCGATTGTGATCAGTTTGATTTGATTCTTCGTGCCACTAACTTATCATTGCTAAACGGAATTCTGACTTCGAAAAAAAAAAGATAAAGTATTTTCAACATTAGAAAGGAAATAGGGAATGTGGAAAAAAGGAATCTTTTCCTCAATTATTGAGACCACCTTGGCGTAATCGGGTCACTTAGAAAAAGTTCACTCTCGGTTATTTCTAGCTGTCAAATCTAGAAAACACAACATTTGTAATTAATCAGGGTCGCGCTCATTTGGAGTGCTAAATGGCCATACAATTCTTATAGCTTTTTCTTGAAAGTAATGCTGCTCTCACGATAGGTTACACAACAGATTAATGTAGGTATAAACATCTATTTCCAGAGTGATTTTACGACTGATGGTGAAAGACCGAACTACAGCGATTAAATTTAGTCATTTCAAATGTTTGAGCAAGACAACACGCAGCAATGCTTAAGATTCGTCCAATACCAAACAATTGAAAAAAAAGGGGGGAGGGGAGGGGAGGGAATGGTTAATGTTTGATTTGTCTGTGCAAAACTGGTGAAGATGACGAGGAATCACAACAGGAAGAGTGCTCGTTTAATCATGATAGCACTCTGCTCCTGCGTCATTTGAGTGGTCACAATTATCAACATTTCCCCATCCAGCGTTTTTGCATCTGAATATTGAATCTTCAGTGCCGTTACACTTGACATCGCTGAGCCATATGCGACCTGAACCTTGGCCGTACTTTGGAGTAGCCCTGGCACCTGTGTAAGCCAACATCCGACACAAAATTCCCGCATCAGTGAGATCCCAGCCTTTGTCGCAGATTGTCCCCCATTGCCGAGCATAATACACCTCTACCCGTCCTTCACTGCGGCTGTTTCCTCCCACGAGACGATCTGAAATTGGAATACAGTGATTTAAGAGCATTTCATAAAATCAACATTCCCCTCCCCATCTTATATCTCCTCTGATATAAATTTATTATCTCTCTTACAGGTACGCGTACACTGTTTCGAGAAAGATGTTTTATTTGCTGACAAAGCCTGATTTTCGGGAAAGCGTAAAAATTATGTGGGCCTTTTTTTTTGCGCGGTCTCATCAACTGAGTTGATAACATGAATTCCCCAGCGTAGAGAGTTTCTGAAACTGACATTTTGAAAGTCAACCCTTCGTCCTTTACATTCACTATGACGACAGGCTACCTTGGCCAATTTACATCATCAAATCGGTTGATAGAACAAAATTATCCTATAATTTCCCCCACCACCGCAGCACTACAATTTCTTACACTTGCATTCCACCGCTCCCGGGTTCGAGTCCGGCCATGACCACTACCTTGATTTGTTTCACGGTAGCTCCGAGTTCAAATCCTCGGCCATGCTTGTAAATAGCCAACTAGTTTGCCTCCGGCCATTTGGAATTCTTAATAATGTTATTTTCAATTTGAATTATTTGTTTCAGTTCTTTGCGAGGACCACAATGAAAACTACTGATTCTACTAGTAATTGTGCGATCCAATAAAGTCATGATCTATTTACTTATTTATTTACACCCCTTCATTCATTTATTCATTCGATTGATCTAAGTTCACGGTGTGATTTTCCAAACGAAATAGAATTCATTAACGTATGCATATTTTTTATGTCCCCAGGGGGAATCGAATCTCAAACCATCTAACTCCGTTGCCTGTGCTGTACCATGGAACTACAAAAAAAACTCTTTTGTCAGAAAGGCCAATTTGCCTTACTTTTGTTATATATGCCTTGCAGACTTTTGTTTTCTACAGAGTGTGGGAGTCGATAAAAGCAGCAGAGTGTTTTCAGGTTTAAGTCAAAACCAATATAAGAAATCCAGGAAAAATATCTTGAGAGCCTGATCATAAAGCTTGATATCCATCAAATGAATATTGAATCGCTACTAGAATATAGGAACTCGTAGCAAGCTCCAAGCTATTCACAAATAATTAAAAGTTTTTTTGGGAGTACTTACAACTTATTCTTGGTTGGATCTGAGCTGACGCTGACGCTGATTTGCATTTCACTGCTGCAATTTCTGACTGTGTGCAGTTACTGTAATCTTTGTGTGAACAGAAAGCAAGATTCTCCTCATTTCCTTTACACTGTACATCTCCAAGTCGCACACGACTTTTCCCTGATCCGTATCTGCCGTCCCGATAAGCTCGGAGAGCACCTGAGTAACCCACCATACGGCACACCACTTCTGCATCGCGCATGTCCCATTCTTTACTGCATACTGTACCCCAGCTTCCTCGATAGAAAACTTCCACACGGCCACTTTTCGAACTTGGACCATTTACAAGACGCGCGCTCATTTCTGGGAAAGAAGATCGAAGTGTTAGTTTACCTTTTTCTAGGATTGAAGTTCAATAATCATTTAGGTAGTGGTAACTGTGTTTTAGAATATTTGATTTTACGATGCTATCTCACCCCAAAAGAGGCACGTAACCGTTAGCTCATGACTGATGTTAGACGAATTGAATTTTGGGATTGCTTCAAGGAAAATTTCGATTGTAAATTTTTGAAAACGGAAATTTGTGTGGAAATTACTCAAAACTTAGAGAAAATGCATTTTCCGAAAGTGTTTAAAAATTCTAAGCTGTTGAAACATGTTAATCTGAAAGTAAGTTTCAACCCAAGAAGCTCACCCTTGGTATCATTTTCTAGCTTTTTCTATCGTCTTATTTCATTTCTTTTCTTCTCAATAACTCGATTTTATTTAAAAGATCAATTTAGATCTAATTGAATAAAAGAGTGAGTTTAGCCTGAAAGGGTATGCAAAGATATTTTAATCTTGGCCTGGTCCTTTTGAGATGTCCTGATCCGAGTGGTCATGCCTCACAAGGTATCTCCAATATTGCTCCAAAGATATCAGTCTATCTAGAATGGTAATTATTTCGATATTCTATTTTTTTGTCACAAAAAGCCCAATAAGTACCTTTCTCCACAAAACCATAGACAAAATTTGCCCTTCGCCTTCCAACTCCTTGAAAGCAGTTTTTAGAGGTTCCTTGCTTGTTATAAGTAAGTTCAACATTATCTCCACTCCAACATTCGCCATAGAACTGAACACCAAAGTAATGGAAGCCTTTTAAGTTGACTCTTCGAGCACATTCTGCCACGGTTTTATTTAGATTATGCCAATCGATCTTACCACGGAAGTTAGCAATCAGCTTGGGAATTGGTCGAGGTTTTAAACCGCTATCCACAAAGCAGCCAATCGGCCTGAATTCAGGTATCGGCATGGATTTCTTCGAGTTGTGTTCTGAATTGCCCTCTTTGAAGGAATCAAAAGTTAAAAAGGAAATTGTACATGTCTCCTACATTTCTTAGGATAGCATGTTAAAGCAATTTTTATAAACTTTGCTATTCCTATCATAGCCATCATCATCATCATTATCGTTATCATTATTTTTCGTTATCATTTGTTTTATTATTATTATTATTATTATTATTATTATTATTATTATTACTATTATTATTATTATCGTTAATGTTATTGATAATGTCTGTTTTTACTTTCACCTTCATTATCATTCAGCAGAAATTATTACGACTGTTACACCATCATCGATCATTATCATCATTACAACTTGATTTTTTTTTTTAATCATTATATTAGACCCGCTAAATCCATCAAGCATTCCAGGCCTTCTATCTGCCATATGATGAATCTCGAGAAATGTGTCGGACTTATGGCTGTCTTTGTAATCTTTTCATAGAGAGAAAATTTATGTTGATTATCTGTGCTTTTCTTCCTCTCTATGAGCATTATGGTTCCCAGGCTAACAATCATACAATATGTGCTTTGTCTTCATTTAGACGCAAAAGTATTCAAATTTACCTGCGACCTCTAAGGAATGAGAGATTGATACCACTGCTATAGAAAACATCATCAACGCTACTGAATTCACTCCGATGTTACACTAAAGGGAAATCATAAAATCGACTTAGTGAAATACATACTTCAACGACGACCACAAATGTAACTAAAGGTGAAAAATAGTGTCGTCTATCCAAAAGATAGCACAAACGTGAACTTGGGTGGGAAGGTTCCTTTGTTTTTCGTAAGATAAAACATTTCCGTATGATGCATGATCCTCGCAGTAGATAGCGCTATTTAAGCAATAGCGAAAATCAGACCTGAAAAAAATCAGGCCTGTACGGGATTCGAACCACTGACCTCTGCGATACTAGTGCAGCGCTCTACCAATTGAGCTAACAAGCCAACTGGGAGCAGGCCGTTAAGTTGATTCGTAATAAACCCGTGAAAGTGATAAATCAAATACAATGAAATATATGAGGTTCATATATTTTGAACTGCGGTATTAGATACGTATGATGCACGGTCCTCGCAGTAGATAGTGCTATTTAAGCAATAGCGAAAATCAGACCTGAAAAAAATCAGGCCTGTACGGGATTCGAACCACTGACCTCTGCGATACTAGTGCAGCGCTCTACCAATTGAGCTAACAAGCCAACTGGGAGCAGGCCGTTAAGTTGATTCGTAATAAACCCGTGAAAGTGATAAATCAAATACAATGAAATATATGAGGTTCATATATTTTGAACTGCGGTATTAGATACGTATGATGCACGATCCTCGCAGTAGATAGCGCTATTTAAGCAATAGCGAAAATCAGACCTGAAAAAAATCAGGCCTGTACGGGATTCGAACCACTGACCTCTGCGATACTAGTGCAGCGCTCTACCAATTGAGCTAACAAGCCAACTGGGAGCAGGCCGTTAAGTTGATTCGTAATAAACCCGTGAAAGTGATAAATCAGATACAATGAAATATATGAAGTTCATATATTTTGAACTGCGGTATTAGATACGTATGATGCACGATCCTCGCNCCGCTGTTCAAAATATATGAACCTCATATATTTCATTGTATTTGATAAAACATTTCGTCGTGGAATTTTAGTTCAAAAACAAGATCTGTAAGCAAGATCTGTAATTAAATTAGATATTTTTCTGCATAACCTCGGGATATTGGAATTATATTTTGATAGATTGCATTTTAAGCTCTTAAACCGTGGCAAATTTCATCGATACTTTTGTGGAGAAAGTTATTTTTCCTCACCGTCTGGTCGGACGAAGCCATCTGACTTATGGATGTTCTTGAAATTAGACTCCGAGATCCAGCAAAGGGAAAATCACCTTGTTTTCGTCAGAAGTGATTTCCCTGAAGGTTTTAGAGCGTGCATTCACTAAGCAAGATAATAGGTACTTACGTCCTCAAAAGAAAACCTGATGTTTGTTGGCATATGACAATCTCTCACAAAATTTTTGAATTAACTCGGTGAGAGCAATACGGTGGATCTAATCAGAGTCAATAAAGGTTGTCTAGTATGTTTGCTTTGCTCAAGCTGAAAATGTTCTATCTCAAAACGAAATGATAAAAAACAAAAACAAAAAAGAAAATCCAATCCCCAAAGACTCTTGCGACAATAGCGAAATGAATTGATTATGTTTGACAAAAGTGTTCGTGTATATTTCTATGGTGATATTCGTTTGACGGAAAGGGATTGACAAAAAAAAAGGAAAATGATTGCCACCTGGGCTGTCTGAGATCAACTTCTGATACCGTGGCAAACCGAAATACACCTGATCCGATAACCACCGCTCTTTTGAATCCACGCGAAAGGAGTGGGGAAAAGCGGAAAAGCGTGGGCTCATTTGCAGAACAGCAGCTGCCAAATTATCGCCATAAAAAAAAAAAAGAGAACAATAATGCTTTGGGAAAGAGAAAAACTCGCGACTTTCCGAATATAAAGTTTTGCACTTTACTATATGCTGGTCATCGCTGGTGACTCAATTGTGTGAACTTGTGTGGCAACTTGGTTCGGAAAGCCTTCTGGCTAGCCCACAAGCCATTGCAAGTTCGCACATGCGTAGGCGTTTGGCTGCTGTTTTTTGAAATGACACGAACAAGGGTGCCATGTGCGAATAGATATTGCAACGAATGAATTTTGCATTTATATTTTTTTCAAGCAGCTGCAAAGTAATTTTATTTTATTTTGTTGTTTCTTTTACACTGTAGTAGCGTTGTTTCTATAAAAATTAAGTTCGCGTTTTTGCGTGAGGTTATGCAAGAATTACATAATGCTAGTATCTAGATATTTTTGCGGTATGCGCGTTGTTTTCACTAGACAAGTTTATTGCAAGTTGATTTCAACTAAGTTAGTCGTCTCGTTAGTTTTTGCCAGTGCCGTGTTGTTCTTCGTTAAGAGCTTTTGCGACCGGACCAGGTTACACCACAAATTGTAAGTTCATTTCTATTTCGTTTAGTTTTTCTTAGCTAATTATATCGCACTTATCTGCGAGTTTTTTCTTTCTAAATAGAAGTCCATCTTGAGAATAAATGAAATGTGTATACGCTTTGTATACGCGTAGTTATCTATCTACAACAAAAGTCTCAAAGGGAAATTTAAAGTAACAATGCGTTTATTGTTGATGCCTTGCAACACGGTTTCCATACAACAGACGTACGTTTAAAACTGTTTCTATTACAATTTTCACCTAAACCATCACCAAGCCTCTACCGCACGCCGAATCTAGAGGAGAGACAAGAAGATCGAAGATAGTTTTACTCATAATAATAATAATAATAATAATAATAATAATAATAATAATAATACGCATGAAATAATTAGGCGCGTCCGATTGGCTGAGAACGAGGGCATTTTTCACGTACCGCTAGTGCATTTTTCATAAAACACGAGTGCAAAGTTGCAACACGAGTGCAAAGTTGTAACAAATTGGTTGTCTTTATCCACACATGCGTAACAACACAATATTGCATAAGAATCATCTTATTATCCACACTAATCTACGATTGATTTCGGCCTTAATATTTGAATAAGGTTAAAGTCATTTGTTCATTTAGAAAACGATTTGGGAGATATCAATACCATACCACTGGATTAGTCTTTCTATTTCAGAGCTTTCCAATATTTTCTATTATTATTAATACATTCTGTTACGTCCTACCTACAGAAAATAGATTTTATATATGTAGAAGTGAATTCATACCTACAGATAACAGTTTTGCAGCTCAGTACTATGAATAATAAAACAATTATTGGAGAAGTTGAGCAAGACAGCAATAATAATTAACAAATGCTAAACACCACAGCGTACACTATTGAGTTATGGATGCACGCGGGAGGTTGCTAAGCACGAAAGAAGCGTAAGAGTCGCTCGAGGCGATAGCCGAGAGCGACTCTAGCTTCTTGAGTGCTTAGCAAACCTCCCAAGTGCATCCATTTTGTTCCGTTTTGTTTTGAACTGATTTTTTTTTTTTTTTTTTTTTTTTCAGGTTTTTCTTTATTCATTATTTCTTGCTTTTTTAAATTTTACATATTTAAGTTGCTGTACCCATACAACATAAATGTAATTGAAGATAAGAAAACGAATGCGAAGCTTTCGGTTATGTTATTTACTGTGCTGCGTAGAAGTGATACTTCTAAGCCCAAAACAACCAAAAGTCAAAGAGAGACAAAGTTGAGGAATAAAATTTACCTTGGTTTTTAGAATTATTCTTTGACTATTTCATCAGCTTGATTGTGCGTGCCTTCAATATCTAGGAAAGAAGAGGAACTGTTTTGAATTCCACATCAGTGGCTTTGTATCAGCATAAGTGGAATATAATCGTGCTTGTAAAATAAGTGTGTAGTAATTTGGAGCGGCTTGAACATTGGATTTAAGCTGGTTTTTTGAAAAGAGGCCGGGAAGCCTTGCTCTCATCCTAGCTTAATCACTCACAATAATTTTACCATTATAATTAACGTGATGTGCGATATCATCAAACCTTACTTACCCATCATTCGGCAACATTTAAACTCCTCAAGACAGTACAGCTTGTCGCAACTCCCTCTAAATATTCCAGCCATGTAGTAGCCCTCACGCTTGCACTCACTGAGTCCTTTGCGATCAAACGAACCCCAAACATTCTCAACATAACAGTCTGCATATTTATCTGGCCACCCTACTGGCTTACAGCACCGAGCCTCTTCGATGTTATGCAGCCAGGGGTCTTTTCCTGTCCTATAAAGACCTCCCGTGAAGTATCCATCTGGACAGGTTGCCCACTTGTTAGTGCTATCGTAACAAAAGAGAGCATGAAGGTAGAAATTAAACACTTTGATGCGACAATATGGTTTAATTTTTTTACATAACGAAAAAGTTTAAAATTTTTTTTGCCAACTTACTTATCAAGAACTTTCCACCAGTTGACTTTCTTGCAGGATGCTGGAATGTCTTTCGCATGTAGGTAAGGAGCAAAACAACACTTAGCGTGCTCTATGAGATAAATACCATCATTTAATCCCTTATTATCATTTCTCCAAAGACCAGTCATGTATTGATTTTCGGAGTTGCAATGAGACCATCCCTCATGGTCAAACGTGTGCCACCAATTTGCGTTGGTGCACGTCAGGCTGTAGCAGGCGTCAGCCATCAAAGTGATGACCAACACGGAGTAAAGAAGTTCCATTGCGCTTAGGATATGCTCTCAGATGTACCTGAATATAAAAGAAACTCATTTTATAACACTTCATTGGTTTTAAATTGAATATAAATCTATGGTTGGGACAAAAAAGATCCTCTAGCGACGTGTTTGATTTTCTGACCCATACAATCAAACGCCACTTGTGTAGATTACCTAACTGGTTTGCCATTGGCGGAAAAATTTTCTTCATAATACGGGGAGCTGGCCGAGGAAGAGGTGAGGGGCAAGAGGGAGGGGGGAGGCTTCCACACCTTACCTTCCTTTTCCTTCCTTGCGATGGCCATTGCTGTATCACAAGAGGTACGAAACGCTTTCGCGCAGATGAGGACGTTAACCTATCGGAGCTTTACTGCTGTTAGTTCCCTGCTATATGGGTTATTAACCAAGCACGAGGTCAAAATGGCTGGTTATTGACCGAGTTCTTCTTTAGCATTTTTATGGATCTCGACTTCGTCTCGGTCGATGTAAAAAAAAACAAACAAACAAAACGAAAAAAAAAAAAAAACAAAACGAAAAAAAAAGAGAACGATGCTAATATCCAGTCATCTTGACCAAACAATCTTGGTTAATAAAGGATTAAGTGTCACGATAATATTTTCCTTTATTAAGAATTAAAAATAACTTGTTTACTTCGAAAGCCGGGAAAGAAAGTCAACAGTATTTGTGGCACAGCAAACTCATAAGAGTCGTTTCTGTTTTCTTTGTTTTGATTATCTTTTGCCGGTTTTTGCGTTTCTATCGCCTAAATTTTACAAAAATTACAAACGTAGTTGTAATTCAATTTTTTTTTCATGCGCGGGATCAATACGGGCAATCCCAAGCAGGCAAGATGGGCCCATCTTGCCCGCTCAGGTAGCCGATCAGAACAAAGGATTCGCTTCATCTTGCCCACGGGCGCTGCGAGCGATGTAATAAAAAGAGGTATTGTCGCCCTTAGCATGCCAAAGTCTAGCAAGAGCAAAAAATGCTTATTACCCTTTATGAGTGTAACTGGGAAATTCACAGATTTAGCTAGCTACAAGAGACAATTTACCGGTGACTTCTAAAATCTCGTTGATAACCTTCTACATAGCAAGAATACTGAAATTCAACATATTTGCGAAAGGGTGCATAAGATTACTCATGTCTTTAGAGGGCAAGAAGAGATCTAAATTACTAGCGAAAAAGACTCTCTGGGTCTGAGTCAAAGACTAGCATTCGTCAGGGAGGATAGTTAAAGAAGTTATCTCAACAGTCCATGAATTTCACACCGCTCGAGATTCCAAACTCAGAATTACTGAACTTATTTTTTTGTCATTTGCATACTCATCAGGCGTGACATCATGAGATTAAATACGAACAATCTTGGAAACTCATGCCCAAGAGAGACCTACCTTCCAAGCCTTACTTCGATCTACTCTTGAGACGTTCTGGACGATGTGTATATTTTTAATTTGATTTATTTCTCTCTTGAAAGGAAAATTGGCAATTTCTTTGTAAATAACACGTATGTGGTTCACAAGATGAGGCAGCTAAATAAATAGAGAGCTGACAATATAATGAAGCTAATAAATTTTCTTACTCATTGTTATCAATAATGACGAGATTTTCTAATTAATCCTTTGGAAATTAGACAATCTGAAGCTTCTTAAAGTATCATGATGTCTCAACTGGCAACGAAAGATCTTACTGGCATAGCTCTTTTAATCACCAAACTTTACTGAGGGGAATTGCAGTAAGAGAGGAGAATGCAGTTAGAGTGCTCAAATCCTTTCGCTTGTAATACTTATGTAGGTGAGTTGCATAAACACGCCGAAAATGACCATTCAAGTCATAAATGAAAACCTAGAAATAAGAAAACAAGCTAATAAAGTAATAAAACAGGCGAGCAATCACTTCGACTAATACGTTTCTAACCTCCAAGCGAAAACAATTGATTAATTACGTGCCAAATTGATTGAATTAGTCAGATTACTAACCCAATTCTATTTTGATATGTTTTTTTTATGTTATAGAATGGGTCATGTCGAGCCTATCAAGGCATAGTAAATCCTAAACTGGCAAGATCGCTTGTAAAAGTAAAACGTATTCTTAGCTCCTTTGACAAGTAAAAGCAAGGGAGAATGTTTTTGTGGGAGTAGAATCATCTTAAGCATATTGAGATATCGTGATTTCTAACCTACCGAGATCCCTCGCAGAGGTGAAACGTTGTTTAAGCTTCTGCAAGCACCAAAAGCTCGATCAATTGTAATGGTTACGTGACTAACGATGACCGCGAAAACTTATTTTCATATAATTAATTATATAAAAAGTTTACACTGAAGTTAAAACTCGCATTTATCAACTATTTCTATCAAGAATGGTGGAATCACGTCGGCAACTCGCACCGTGACAAGCACCTCACCCTGAAATCAAATTAGATTATTTCCTTTTTTTAGCATCAAATCATGTCAAATTTGACGACAAGCCTATAATTACAGAATAAATATCGGAAAAGAGAGGCAGGTTGCTCACAGAATAAACGATAAATGAAGTATTCTTTTGTGTTTTGGGCTATTCTTAAAAAAAAATGAATTGATGGAAATGCCCCAATTTTGATGATGTAGTATATCAACCTACATCGTCTGTTCCGAACAACATGACTAGACAGATTGAGTTTATATGAAAAAATATACAAAGGTTGCTTTCAGCTGGGCGAGATTCGCAGAAGGTTAGAAAAATTTTAAAAAATTAATTGAAGATGAACAAAGAAACTGAAACTTTAACTCTCGGGTGTATATACATATATATATTTTATCAACGGTCATTATTAACAATTACGCTTACGAAATATTGGGAAATGGTTCACATCTGAAGCACGCGCAAAATTTTCTCTAACAACTTTGTTTTTTATGGGTGGGTGGTGGGAGAGAGAGGAAAGGAGGGGGAAAGAAAAAAAAAACAGTGTTTCTTGCATGTTTCTTCGCCCAACCATATAAATATCAAAAAATGAAGGCGAAATAAAGAAAGCAAATAAAAAAAATGAAATTAGATAAAAAATAAACAGGAGAGAATGCTTACTATTAAAATTACTGGATCGTTTTCAAAATTAGTATCCAGTTCCGTACCCATTCAATACAGCATTTAAGCATTTCAAGGCAAAGTAGCAGGTCATAATCCTATTTTATTCGTATATTTCAGCCATGAAGTAGCATGTTCAGTTGTACTCGCCGAGTTCTAAGTAGTCAATTGAGTCGCGCAGATCCTAGTAATAGCAGTCTCTATGTCAGACTCTGTAATGTTATAAAGGATGAAAGTTTCTAAAGAAACTGTGGTGCTGCGTCGGTGGGGGTAACAAGGTAATTTGGTTCTATCGACTAAGTTGAAATTGTAAATTGGCCACCGTAACGAATAAAAAAGCTGACGTTTCGAGCGTTAGCCGTTCGTCAGAGCTGTAATGTTATGCAGCCCATCTTCTCCTCTGTAATTCCATGTATTGCGGGAGATACTGAAAATATAGAACTCCTCTGGGCTTGTAACCCATTCTCTGTTCCTATCGAGGCAATGATATTTTTTAATCAGAAAAAGAAATAATTAATAATTATCACAGATGTTATTGAGGGGAGGGGTCATAAAAATCAATTCCACATTCGGACGATATCGATACTTTTCAAATTTAATATTCAACAATTCTTGATGAATTATCCTGTTTGTCATCGTTGCTGTTATCGTCATTGGTAATATCGCCTTCATTGTCATGATTATCCTAATTGTTACACTATTATCATCGTTATTATTGTTAGCTAACGATAACGCAAGCGCTTGAAGAGATACTTGAATTTCCAGTTTTTAGCAAATGATTTTTCTCTTAGAGTTTTATAGCGTGTATTGGCCAAGCAATAATAGGTACTTATGTTCCAAAAAGAAAACTTGATATTTGTTGACAGGAAATTTTTCAATTGACTCGGTGAAAGTAAAATGGCAAATTCGATCTGAGTCAACAACAGTTGACAACTATGTTTACTTTGCTCAAGCTAAAATTGTTCCTAAATCTATTCTAAATCTGTATTCTAAATATGTTCTAAATCTGTTCTAAATCTGTATTCCTAGATCTGTTCTAGGTCCGATTTTGTATTTATTGTATACGTCTCCTCTCGGCGACATTATAAGAAGACATGATATGAACTTCCATTTTTATTGGGATGACTGTCAAGTTTATTTTTCGCTTGACTCGTTTTCATCAGTTACTACCACGAGAATCGAAACCTGCCTACAAGATATTGGAACTTGGATGTCATCGAACAAACTAAAACTTAACGGTGATAAGACTGAGCTTTTGGTCATCGGATCGGGCAATCTGTCTGCTTCTCAGTTTCCTTCTTTTACAGCGATTGATGGATCTGCATGTTATACGGCCTTCGCACTATGCCAGGATCATAGGTGTAATCTTTGACAATAAGTTAAATATGGAACGTCAAGTTTGGGCTATTTGTAAATCTGCATTTTTTCACATCCGGAACATTTCTCGGATTAGAAAGTTTTTGTCAGTCAGTGGTACTAAGGCGTTAATACACGCCTTCGTTACATGCAGATTAGACAACTGTAATTCTCTGTTATATGGTCTTCCGAAACATTTAGTTCATAGATTGCAATTAGCCCAGAATTGTGCGGCACGGCTGATCTTATGTGGTCGCAAGCATGATCACGTTACTCCTTTACTGAGGTAACTGCACTGGCTCCTCGTTGAGCAGAGGATTACTTTTAAAATCTTACTTTTTACTTTTAAATCTTTAAATAAATTATGCCCTAGTTACATCATTGACTTGTTAGAAACTTATAAGCCTACTAGGTCTTTGAGATCATCGAGTAGGAACTTGTTAGTGATTCCTCGCTCCAAGTTGAAATGTTATGGCGATCGCGCCTTTTCGGTCTCTGCACCTAAACTGTGGAATGACACTCCTGGAACCATAAAATCTAGTATAGATCTTAACACTTTTAACGTAAGGTAAAGTCTGTTTACGAGCGTAGTGGCCCATTAGGCCGGTGCTTAACTCCAATGTCAGTTCATCGCAGGGTTACCCCCAGCATTAAATTGCCGGTACCCATTTATATACCTGGGTGAAGAGAGGCACTGTGAGAGTAAAGTGTCTTGCCTAAGAACAGAAAACAATGTCCCGGCCGGGGCTCGAACCTGGACCACTCGATCCGGAGTCGAGCGCACTAACCACGAGGCCATCGCGCCTCCACAGTAGTATAGATCTTAACACTTTTAAGCGTAATCTTAAAACTTATCTTTTTAAGCGTTATTTTAATAAATGATTATGTTTGATTATTACTTTACTTTTTACCTTGATTGTGAAGCGCCTTAGAGCTTTTGGATAAGGCGCTATATAAATTTTCATTTATTATAATTATTATTATTATTATTTTTATTCCTATTTAAAAAAGAAATGAAAAAAGTTAAAATCTCATCTTTAATGAGACTCACGTCAATTGTGTGAAAATAAATTGATTATGTTTGACAGGAGTGGCTCACATATAGATTTATGGTGTCTCTTTCTTGAAAGTAGGTCGGAATAATTGAAAAAACCATTGCAACAAGTTTACACATGCGCAGATGTTTGACCGCTGTGTTTGAAAACTGAGATACGACAAACTTCAATTGAAGGGTACTAAGAAGAAAAAACTATAGTAAAACAACAGTCTCACAGGGAAATTTGAAGTAACAATGCGTTTATTGTTGATTACATGCAACACTGTTTCCATACTATAGACGTACGTTTAAAACGTTTACTTTTACAGTTCCCATCTAACTCAGCAGCTAGCCGCTACCTCCCGTCGAATCTAGAGGAGAAACAGAGGACACCCGAATATAGTTATATTCATAATTCTACGATGATTTTGCCATATTCATTTGAATTATCATATGTAATTACTTAGGAAGCTGTTTTCGAGATATCAAGACTATGACCAAACCTACATCGGAACATTGGATTCGCCTTCATATTTTAGGGCCTTCTCATATTTTCTTTGAGCAATACGAAAGTACACTTACGGTGCAAAATAACTTTTTTGTCCTGTTTTTTCTCAGGAGTCGATTTCCTACAGCTACCATAATAACCAAAACTCAAGGCAAAAATAAATTAGAGCAATCAAATTTACCTGGTTTGTGAGATTTACTCTTTGCTTTTTGTTTCATCAGCCTGAACGGACGAACTTTCAATATCTAGGAAAAAGAGGAACTAGTTTGAACTCCATTTGAATAGCTTCATATTAGCATAAGTGGAATTGATTCTAGTTTATCAAATAATGAACAATTTGCGGTCATGTGTAGAGCTGTAATACATGTAGAGTGGTGCATAGCGCCTTGAACAATGGATTTAAGCTGGTTTGTTTGAACAGAGACCAGGAAGGCTTGGCATTATCCTAGCTTATTAATCCGCGATAATTTCGAATTTCCTATGATAATTAACGTGCAGCACAATATCTTTGATCCTTATTTACCCATCATTCGGCAACATTTAAATTCCTCGAGACAGTACAGCTTGTCACAATTCCCTTTAAATATTCCAACCATGTAGTAGCCCTCACGCTCGCACTCGCTAAGTCCTTTGTGATCAAGCGAACCCCAAACATTTTGAACATAGCAGTCGTAATATCTATCTGGCAACCCTTCTGGCTTACAGCACTGAGCCTCTTCGATGTTATGCAGCCAAGAATCGTCTCCTGACCTATAAAGACCTCTCATGAAGTATCCATCTGGACAAAGTGCCCAACTGTTTTTACTATCGTAACAAAAAAGAAAATTAATGTAGAATTAACACTTTGATGCCATAGAAATGTTTCAATTTTTTACTGAAAGAGGTTTAAAATACCTTACCAACCTACCCATCAAGAATTCCCCACCAATTGGCTTTCTGGCAGGATGCTGGCAGATCTTGCGCAAAACAACACTTCGCATGTTCTATGAGATAGATGCCATCATAAGACTCCCTTTCGTTCCTCCAAAGACCAGTCATGTATTGATATTCGGAGTCACAGTAAGACCATCCCTCATTGTCAAACGAGATCCACCAATTTGCATACGAGCAATTCTGGCTGCAGCAGGTGTCAGCCATCGTGAGAATGATCAAAAAGGAATAAAGAAGTTTCATTCTGCTTAGGATGTGCTTTCAGTTGATGTACCTAAATATAAAAACGGACTTATTTTAACTACGCTTATTGGTATGAAACGGAATAAAATCCATTGTTGGGACAAAACTGATTAAAAGGGATCTTGCTACAACGTCGCTGATTGTTTAACTATACTGTCAGTTACCATTTTAGTGAATTACTTAACTGGGTAGCCATCGAATAAGGAACATACTTAGCATAGTGAGCTCAGGGGAGGATGGGTCGGGGTAATATTCTTCACGTCTGTGGCTAAACGTCAAGACTTGCTATGGTCATTGCCCTGTCATGGGAAGTGGCGGAACGTTCCCTTGGTTTCATGGTAAGGAGTTTCTGGCCCTGTTAGCAAGCCAAGGTCAAGCAACTTGAAAAAGTGCTTGTTACCCTGTATGAGCATAAGCAGCTATAAAGGAAAAGTCATTCTCTATCGCCTTGGGGGTGGGGGTTGAGAATGGTTTTCAAGGGTAGTGGAGAGGGATCAATCGTCGCCAACAAGGTATAAATGGGGGAAGCTATAGAAAATTGGCCGTAATTTTACTGCCTATGGTGGGGAGGGGGGTCATAAGAATATTAAAGAGCCTTATGGAGAGATCAGGTAAGTTTCCAATCCTCTGCCCCCCTACCCCTCCACTCCTTTGATAATAATAAATGGTCCTTAGGAGCTATTCTTTGGGTGACTTTTGAACCGTCGGGGAAAAAAAAGGTTCTCCTGTTTAACAAGAGTACTGAAATTCAGTTTGCATGCGAAAGAGCAAGAGGAGATTTCGAGGACACAAGATACGTGAACTAATTGCTAAAATTGTTTTCTCAGTCTGGGTCAAGCCCAGCATTGCTAAGTGAGGATAGTTAAAGAAATAATCTGATCAAAAGGCCGTAAATTTCACACATTCGACATTCCAGACGTTTTGAATTAAATCTTACTTCCCGAGCACTTCAATCCAGTTCTAAACTAACAGGGCTCAATGCAGCCCATGCAAAATTGGCCCTATAACAAACCTCTGGACACTGAAGTCATTCTTTATACAATCTATCGTTCAACATCGAGAAAAAAGTTGTGGGTATCTCCTATGGTGAATGCGGACACATTGATGCAAGGAAGGCTGCATAGGAATAATCTGGCGAACTCATCTCATAGAGAAACATACCTTCTCAGCTTGGCTCCCAGGACGTTCTGCACAAAGGGTAGATTTTAAGTTTTGATTTATTTCAGACCAGAAAGGAAAATTGACAATTTCTATGTAAATAACACCTGTGTAGTTCACAGGCAAAGTCAGGTGAATAAACAGCTTATATTGAAATTAAATAAAAGGTAAACATGATATTATGATCTACTATTTGTAAATGAGACAATCTGAATCTTGTTAAGGCATCATGATTTCTTGAGTGGCCATATCTCTCTCTAAGTTCAAACGCTGGCTTAGCTCTTTCAATCACCAAACTTAAGGGAGCAGTTAAAATGTTTAACTCTGTAATGGTTAAGTGAGCCGCATAAATACGTCGAGAGTCATTCAAGTCATGAATGGAAACTTTAAACAAAGACTACAAGCTAATACAGGTGAGAAAATACGTGAAAAATTTATTACTTAAGGTATATTAATTAAATCTTCTAACTTTCAAGCCAAGACAGGTGAATAACTATGTGGAAAAATTGTGAAATTAGTTAGTTTATATACTCACTACCATCAAGGTTATCTTATTTGATGATTTTGATTTTAGAGAGGGGGTTCTTTAACCATGTTAGTAATGGCTAAGTTGGCAAGATCATTTGCAAAAGCAAAACTTTGTCTACGCTCATTTAAATACAAAAAGCCGGAGAAAATGCATTTATGAGAATGGAAGCATTTTAAGCATGTTGAGGTATCGAGACTTTAAACTCGGAAGGTCCCTCGCAAAGGTGAAATCTTGATTAACCTCCTGATCCTGCACTACTTAAAGCGAGGTAAAATTTATTTGAAAAACAGTAACTCAAATGCAAAGTAAAACACGAATTGTTGTTTGTCTCGGCACTCGGGGGTATTTGCGAGCTAAGCTGTGTTGAGGTGGACCGCCTTCGCCCTCGAAGGACCAACGTTTGTTTCAATTTCGCATCGCTAAAACCGAATGAAAAACATAGCAAGGTTCCCTTGAGGCTCTTATTTTCATTAAGCTACATCACTTAAGTAAGATTTGACTAAAAGCTTATCATTATCGCATAAAGATAAGAAAAGAAAGGTGTTTTGGTTTCTTCACAGAAGAAACGATAAACGAAATACTCCTCTGTGTTTTGGGGGCTGTTCCGAAAATATGGAGTCCGGAGTGCGGAGTCTAAAAAGAAAATTAAAAAAAATTGAAAGAATAATTAAATACATAAATAAACTAGAGATAGAAATTTAAGAAATAAAAATAACAATTATTAAAAAATNNNNCTACGAAGGGAAAACTGTAATAAAACAACATTCTCAAAGGAAAATTTGAAGTAACAATGCGTTTATTGTTGATGTGATGTAACACTGTCTCCACACAACAGACGTATGGTTAACACTTTTGCATTTACAACTTCCATCTAACTCAGCAGCTTGCCTCTACCGCACGCCGAATCTAGAGTGGAGAGAGGATACCTGGATAAAGTTATATTCATAATCTTACTACTGAGTTCGCCTATTTATTTGATTTATCATCTTTAATTACTTAGTATTTTTTTATTCAGAAAACGATTTCGAGATGTTAAGGCCATGAAAACCTACATCGGGACACGGATTCGTCTACCAATTTCAGAGTCTCCTAATGTTTTTTATGAGCAACACGAAAGCACACTTCGGGTGCAAAATAACTTTTTTCTCTGGTTTTCTTTTTACCAGAAACTGATTTCCCAAAGCAACCAAAAGTATCAAAACTTAAAGCAAACAAAAAATGGAGCAATCAAATTTACCTGGTATTTGAGAATTACTCTTTGCTTTTTGTTTCATCAGCTTGAATGGGCGGGCCTTCGATAGCTAGGAGAGAAGACGAACTATTTTAAACTCCTCCTAAAGTACGAAGTCAAGTGTAGAGCTCTAATGGAATAATTTGACCTTAGCTTTAATTATCGTGTTGTACGATATCATTTATCCTTATTTACCCATCATTCGGCAACATTTAAACTCTTCAAGACAGTAGAGCTTGTCTCAATTCCCTCTAAATATTCCAGCCATGTAGTAGCCCTCACGCTTGCACTCGCTAAGTCCTTTGTGATCAAACGAACCCCAAACATTCTCAACATAGCAGTCTGCATATTTATCTGGCAACCCTTCTGGCTTACAGCACCGAGCCTCTTCGATGTTATGCAGCCAAGGGTCTTTTCCTGTCCTTTAAAGACCTCCCATGAAGTATCCATCCGGACAGGTTGCCCACTTGTTACTACTATCGTAACAAAAAAGAAAATGAAGGTAGAAATTAAAAACTTTAATGCGACCAAAATGTTTTAATTTTTTAACCCAAGAAAGAATCTGAAAATTCTTTGCCATCCTACCCATCAAGAACTCTCCACCAATTGGCCGTCTTGCAGGATGCTGGCACATCATGCATGCCGTAAGGGGCAACACAACACTTAGCATGCTCTATGAGATAGATTCCATCATCTTTACCTTTACCGTCATTCCTCCAAAGACCAGTCATGTATTGATTCTTGCAATCACAATAAGACCATCCCTCACGGTCAAATGTGTGCCACCAATTTGCATTCGAACACGTCTGGCTACAGGAGGCGTCAGATATAGTAAGAATGATCAACAAGGAGTAAAGAAGTTTCATTGTGCTTAGGATGTGCTCTCAGTTGATGTACCTAAATGTAAAAACGTACTTATTTTAAGAACGCTCATTGATATGAAACGGAATAAAATCCAGCACTTGGGAAAAACTGATCAAAAAGGGATCCCGCTGCGACGTCACTGATTTTTTAACCATACTATCAGTCGCCACTTAAGTAGATTACTTACCTGGTTAGCCATTGACTGCGAACAAAGGAAGCTGGCACAGGATAGGGAAGGGGAGGGGGTAGGGGGTAGAGGGTGCTGGGTATGGGTAATATCCTTCACGTCTTTCGTTAAAATTCAAGATTTGCGATGACCATTGCCCTATCATGAGAAATGGCGAAACGTTCCTGTGCAGAAAAAGACGTTAACCTATCAGAAATCCGCAGCTCTTAGTTCCATGATAAGGAGTTTCGGACCCCGTTAGCATGCCAAGGTCTAACAGCTGAGTACCAGTAGCTATAAAGCACCAGTCATTATTGACCGCTTTGGGGGAGGGGGGTGTTCTTGGGGAGAATCACTTAATTCCGGTGGGGAAAGGAGGAGGATCACTCGCCGCCAAAAGAGTATAATGGGGGACTATAGTAAAGTAACTGCAATTTAATGAAGGTCATGAGAATATAAAAGAGCCTCATGGGGGGTCAGGTAAATTTCCGAAATCCTCGGACTCCCCCAGGTGATATGTAATAACTGCTCCTTTGGGAGTACTTGTAGGCTGAGTTCTTAGCCGTCGGTAAAAATAAAAAAA